ATATCAACGGAAACAAATATGACTGACAAACTCATAGCCAGTCTAGATATAAAAAAAAACAAAACCTTTGCAATAAAGTACTGGTTAATAAATTGCTTAAATCTAAAAGAAATCTAACTCAATAAAAAATAAACCTCTACCTACCAATACCTAAAATAATAAAAATATGCAGTCTCATCAACAACCAAACAATGCTATTCTACATTTAACAATATTTTTATGAGCAAAGATTTGGATTATCAATGGGGTCACCCCTAAGTGTAGTAATGGCATGTATTTTCTTAGAATTTCTCGAATCTGTTACTTTACAAAATATTTTGCCTATACAATAAACATATTTCCGATATATTGATGATGCTCTGTTAATATATCCCGTTATACTGAGTTACCTTATCTTGAAAAGGAGAAAGGCATCGAAAATACTTTCAAGCTCTTTCAATGACCTATTTCATATTGAATGCGAAAAAAGGGTACATAAGATATTTTCTGACAGAGCGATGCTTCCTGACGAACACAACGAATCAAAATATATTGTTCTACACACAAATTCTATCACAACTAAAACGGAAAAAAATTATTTGAACTCAAGATAAAATTTTTCACAAACTATGTCTAAAACAATGAAATAATTAATACAAAACAAAATAATGACCTCAATCTTGAAGGAATTTACTATATTACCAGTAATAATTGCCAGATCAGAGAAAAAAATCAGGTGATTTAAATAAAAGATTATATGAACACAAAAGTGACCTTAAAAAACAAAAAGCAAAAAAAAAAACAATACATTAAATATATTAGTTGTTCACTGTAAAGAGATTTGCCGCAATTTTGATTTGAAAAATGCTACTCTAAGTAAAAGACAAAACAATTTACTAAGACGAAAATGTTTAGAAAGTATTAGGACATCCACAGTAAATTTGTGTCCAGGTTCTTACAACATTTCACCATTCTTGGCAGATCTTCAATTATCACAATGTAGTATAATTATTGAAAAAAGAGATTCATTAAAGAAGACTGACAAGGTATTGCGATTAAACTTTTTTTATTTATTTAATGATCCTATAAGTGTTCCTATAAGTGTTTTCTTTTCTTGACTTAAACCGTGTAAACAGTTCACAAATGTTGTATATACCCGAGCCAAGTTTTTTTCTTTTTCTGAAGATTCCGCTGAGCATGAAACTATGTGTCGTGTTACCGGTGTGATATATTATATATATATATATATTTGCTATTTGTTCTTTATTTGATCATATATATATATATATATATATATATATATATATATATATATATATATAATCAATAAAGAACAAATAGTAAACATCTATCAACCTGACATGTTTCAATTTTATGAAAGCTTCGTCAGAGACTGTGAGAAAACAGAGAAAAAGGCAGACAATTCTGGTATTTTCAATTATCGTTGCGTCAGTCCTCAATGGTCAGACACGTGGCATGTATTTTACAAGCGGCGATAACTCTATGTGTATGTAGGTTTGTTTTCCTATTTGTTATTTATTTTATCATCCTACCAGATTCCGATCCATATTTGAATCTACATTTGATCTTTAACTTATATATATATATATATATATATATATATATATATATATATATATATATATATATATATATAATGACTACTTGCATGTTTTAATTATTACTATTTATATAACTCTAAAGACTGACGCCTTCTCAAAGTTTAAACAATAAAAAGGCAGTGAGACTAACTCGTCAGCATATCTCGTTATATTGCTTTCGATAAAACTGTGTAATGTGGTAGAGGCAACGCGCAATATTCAAACAAGACTAAGAGGCACCTGTGCGCCGTGCGGCAGTAAATTGGTTAATTCATCATGAAAAGGCGTAAATTCTGTTTCTCCTCTACACCCAACACACACACTCAAATACACCCGCGAGGTACGCACAGATACATTTACATACACACACAAACGCGCGTGCGTGCTTACACACTAACACACACACACGCACACAAACCTATTGAATTGAACGGATTTGAACGCTTTACGATATCTGTAGTTAGAAATATTATTAAAATATATTACACCCACCTACCTACCTACCTACCTACCTACCTATCTATCTATCTATCTATCTATCTCACTCTTAGAATTTGTTCATATCTATCTCTTACAGCTTGTTCAAATCTATCTATCTATCTATCTATCTATCTATCTATCTATCTGTCGATTTGCATATTCCTATTCTTGTGTGTGTGTGATTATCGACATCTATTTCCGCTGAAATCAAAAGTACACAAATTATTTTTTGTCGTTTCTTACCATTGCAGTCTTAGTTTTTGTCCTCTTATTAATCTCTTCTCATCAGTGACACCTTTTTTTATCTACGTGTTTATCTTTTAGGTGAATAAAAGCGAATAATAAACAATAAGAACAAAGAAAAGAAACCGGTTATTGCAAAGACAATTAAGCTCATATATAGTTGTATCAAATCCTAACAAGTAGTAATAAAAAAAAATACAAATAAACACGTAAAACAGAGTAGAGAGAAAGCGCACTTTTATCAAAAATTTTCTTTAATCAAAAATTGTTTTGCCTTGTGGCGAAACACGCTGCCTTAAGCTGGTGCATTGTACTAACAAATCAGATATCAATGAATGGCTAAAAAGTAAACTAATGTACTTTGTTCCCGCCAGGTGTCATCATTTCATTGAAGAGTAATGTCGTTCTTATGATTGCCACCACCCAAAAACTCATTCTTATAAACGAATCACCCTGTGTCTATTCGAATACGTTTTATGTAGATTTCTTTACGTGTGTCTACATGTACAATTGTTTGTTTAAGATTAATCGAGTTTGGTCCTTCGTCACGATTTTTGAGTATTTACTTAATTATTGTAATCCTTGCTTTTCGCCATACGTTCTTACCCTTCCTCTGCGGCCGGTGCATATATATTTATTAAAACTGGTTTTGTTTTAGGTCTACCATACAAAGAACAAGTTTAATCCATAAATGCCTAGTGTTCCAAAAGTGCGAGGGTGGATATTAACTGGTTATAAGTCTAAACCTATAATTAATACTGGATTAAACCTTTTAATAATGCCGTATTTTTAAGAACCCATTGATATTGGAATATTTTAAGAAACCTATACTTATTACCTGGGAGTGGTAAGTTTTTCAAGCCCTTCTTAGCGTCCTGGGTATGACGATAAACTACATCCGCGTCCTGGGAATGGCGATAAACTACATCCGCGTCCTGGGTATGACGATAAACTACATCTGCGTCCTGGGTATGACGATAAACTACATCCGCGTCCTGGGTATGACGATAAACTACATCTGCGTCCTGGGTATGACGATAAACTACATCCGCGTCCTGGGTATGACGATAAACTACATCTGCGTCCTGGGTATGACGATAAACTACATCCGCGTCCTGGGTATGACGATAAACTACATCTGCGTCCTGGGTATGACGATAAACTACATCCGCGTCCTGGGTATGACGATAAACTACATCTGCGTCCTGGGTATGACGATAAACTACATCCGCGTCCTGGGTATGACGATAAACTACGTCCAACAGTAAGGCCTCTGATAATATGTTTTTGAAAAAATAATGTTGCCAGCTATACGTTTTTGAAAAAATAATGTTACCTGCTATAAGTTTTTGAAAAAAATAATATTACCGGCTATATGTTTTTGAAAAAAATAATATTACCAGCTATACATTTTTGAGGAAAAAATATTAACAGAAATAGATTTTTGACAAAGCAAAAATATTACCAGGAAAAAAAAAAACTTGTCAGCATTAAATGGCCCGTTGAGGTTGATATGCAGTAAAACAAACCAAACCAAATCAAACCAAACCAAGCCATTCTTAACGCTCACAGAGTGCAAATGGATGGCAGAACTCTGGTGAGAAGTTTAGCAAACAGAGAAAAAATGCTAAGAGCCACATGGGTTAGGAATTTTTGGATGACCATGATCGCCCATGTTCTGAAGGATCTTTGTTTTAATGTTTTTGTAATTCATACCAAATTTTATGGTAGCTCTTAAGAAGTCAATGGATTAATAAATTCTCATTTCTCTTTAATAGCGGATCGAACTGACTACAGTTTTTCAGAAAGCTTCTGTCTGATTGTTTTCTGATGAGGATTTCTTGTTAGACGATTCTGAAAACATTGGAAGCCTATATAACATTTGAATACATAAACATGTTAATATATAAGTTACATTATTCACTTTCGGTCTAATATTCTTTTTTTTGTTGCCATTATCACAACGTTTCAACCTTTATGATTTACGGCATTCTTCAGATGGCTGTCGATATAGCTATGAACGGCAAAGGAATTCAAGCTTGACAGCAAAGTTGCAGCGGAGGTGGGGATAAGAACATTAGGTTTAAGGCGTTGGTTAGATAATTTGATGTCGAATTAACCGTGAGGTCAATCCCTTGGGCTGAGAAGTGCAAACTCAGAATAAATATAAAAGGGGTAAGCAATAATGAAACAACAACAACAAAAAACAAAAAAATAACAACAGAAAACTCTGAAATTTTATTTACTATTTATTTGTTAATTTTACCACAATAGGAAGAGATAGGTTCGCCTATCGTCTATTTCGCACACACCCTCGGTCTTTTGAAAAGGAATAAATGTTTATCCCTTGTTTCCTGTTTAGGATTGGGTTTCCACTTCCTTCTAAATTCTACTTCAACTCTATACTTCTAACGTCTCCGTCTAAACTCTGAAATTTATTTACTAATTTTTTCCTCAATAGGAGCAGATAGGTTAGCCTATCGTCTGGTTTATGCCCCCACCCCGATCTTTTGTACAGGGGTAGAGGTTTATCCCTTGTTTCCTGTTGGAAATAGATCTGCTTGTTCACCTTGCCGCATTTGTTTCATTGCTGCTCCAATCTAAGCTTATCTAAACTAAAATAAGTAGACAAACAAAGCCACATATGGTTTTCAGGTTTTTAGTGTGACTATAGAAATATATGTCAACGTTTGAATTTTAATTACGGCCACGAGGATGAGAATGGGAGAAAATGGGAGAATCAAAAGGTGGAAAGAAAGAAACAGACAAAGAGAGAAAGAGAGAGAGAGAGAGAGAGAGAGAGAGAGAGCAGCAGAAAGAAAGAGGAGGATAGAAAAGTAGTGAGGTGAATAGAATATATACAGAGGGGGATAGATATATAGAGAGAAATAGAGAGAGAGGGGGGGGGAGCGTGGGATAATAAGGAAGAAAAGAGAAGGATAGAAAGGTATAGAGGTAGAGAGAGTGAGAGCGCGCGACAGAAAGAGATAAACAGATGGAATGCACGAAGAAAGAGAGAGGGGGCAAAGAAAAGAGAGAAGAATAAAAATAAACGAAGTGAGGCAGATAGATAGATAGATAGATAGATAGATAGTGAAAGAGAGAAAGACAGAGCGATAGAAAGAGAGAAATAGACGGCAAACAGAGAGATGGCAAAAAAGGTGAAGAATAGAAAGAAAGGAAGACAGAAGGGCACAGAAAGAGAGAGAGGGGAATGGGGAGAGAAGACAAGAAAAAAGAGAAGGAAAGAGAAATAGAGAGAGGATTAGAGAGGGAAACAGAATAAAGGAAACAAAAGGGCGGAGAACAAAAAAGGAAAGAGGACAGATGATTATGAGAGGGAGAGAGAAAATAAGAGAGAAGTAGAACGTGGCAGAGAGAGAAGAAAGCTTTTTTTTCTTTTTTGTAATACGTGTAAAAATCTCTATATTTTTTTCTGGAGCTTAATACCGGATGTAACTAGAAAAATATGTTCGAATATACAGTACTGCACAAAATTAAGTGTACCCCTAAAATTATATTTTAAAAAATGTTTCTTTTTTCCGTGATAATCAACAAATCATAATTAAACTATATATTCATTAAGAAAATCTGTAATTCGACTAATTACAACAACTTTCAAAATTTATATAAAAATATTCAAAATTAAGATGTGCAAAAGTAAGTGAACCCTTACATTAATAAATAGTGATTCCTCCTTTTCGGGTCATGAGGTCAACCAGTCTTTTCCTATAATTTTTGAAGTTTCTGGCAGTAGTGAGCGTCAATTTTTTTTTACTATTCTTCTTGGCAAAACTTCCAAAATTACTCAATATTACCTGGGGTTCTTGTATGTACTGCCTTCATTAACTTGATCCATAGATTCTCAATTAGGTTTCGATCAGGATTTTGACTAGACCATTCCAAGACTTGAAATTTCATTTTTTAGAACCATTCTTTTGTGGATTTGCTTTAATGCTGTTGGAAGTCCCAGCCTTCATCGAAAACCCAAATTTCGAACCGAGAGCGAGACATTTTCGTTCAAAATTACTTGATATCTTGCAGAGCTCGTGCCGTCAATGTGTCGTAATTTACCTGTTCCAGCTGCAGCAAAGCACCCCGAATCATAATACTGTCGCCGTTATGTTTTACTGTTGACATCAAATTCTTCTCTTCAAAATCCGTATTAAGAGCGTGCCAGACATATTGCCTATCGTTCCTCCTCAAATGCTCTAGTTTGGTCTCATTCGACCATAAGACCTATTGTCAGAACCTTTCTAGCTTATGAGCTTTGGCGTAGTTAAACCGAGTTGTACTTTTTTCTAAACAATGATTTTTTTTCTGATATTGATTCCGACATTGGCCAGGGAGTCTTGGACAACTACAAAGATTACAGCAGGATTTGCATGGACTTACCGAACTAGAATTCTACTTGCTCTTGTAGGTATTTCTCGCGGACGGCCACTTTTTGATTGCGATGTCGTCGTACCAAAGATCATCTATTAATAAATAATTTGTTGCACGTTTTGATAACTTTTTCTAGCCTTTTCCATTATTATAGGCGTCAACTATGTCACTTTTTAAAGCTTCAGGAAGTTCTTTTGATCTTGGCATATTTTTTAAATTTTGTCTCAAACCGCACCCTTTTGCATACACAGTGAGTTATATTGGTTGATTGCAGCAGACACAACTTTCCACAAAAATGAACACGTGCAATTTTGATTTTTACACGTGCACAAAAATTTATTTGTACTAGCAACCATGGAAGACAAAAATACAGGGTGTAAATGTAAGAGTTCGCTTACTTTTGCACATCTTAATTTTTAAGTAATATTTTTATACGGACATGATGAAACGATTTGAAAGTGGTTGTAATTCGTTTCATAAAGGTTTTTGCTCTTAATGAATATATAGTTTAATTAAAATTTGTTGAAAAAAAGGCAATTTTTAAAAATATAATCACTGGGGGTTCACTTACATTAGCGCAGTAAGAATTCTGAAAGGTTTTTTTTTTTTTTAAAACATTTCATCCCAAGCAAGGCTGGGAGCCATTAACACGCAAGGGGTTACATAGGATTTGGAGCGAGATCAGATAGGAGTGATAGAGGAAAGGATGAAGAGAAGGATAGGGGATAGATCAAGGCAACTGGAGATGTCGATTGACATTACATTTGAATAGTTGGAGATTATAGCGCTCAGGGAAACAGGAATAGGGAAGGGAGTTCCACGGGCGAGAGGTGCGAGATAGGAAGCTATTGGAGTAGAAGAGACGGCTACATTTAACAGTTTCAACAGTGAAAGGGTGAGAGCGGGATGCCAGCCTCGTAGGACGCTTGAATTCATGAAGTCTGGGAAACAACGAAAGCAGCTCATCGGAGCAATTACCATGAAAGTATTTGTAAAAAAGACAGAGAGAGGCGACGGCACGTCTGTGAGAGAGCGACTGCAGACGAGATGCCAGATCAGGGCCAGTTATATTGCATATCCGTCTCTAGATCTTATCAATAACCCCGAAGCAAACAGAAGGTGCTCCAGACCATATATGACAGCAATACTCCATACAAGGGCGAATGATTGATTTGTAGATTTAAAGATTGATTGCGGGGAGAAAAATTTCCTGGCGCGGCACCGGGAGCCAACTTTCTTTGCGGTGGACGGAGCAATTGACTCAATGTATTTGTTCTATCTTAACTCAGCAGACAATGTGATACCGAGCAGCCGCAGACAGGTGCTCTCGAGAAGTTGAGCGTTAGACATTCTAAAGGGTGGCAGGGAAGTATCTCTGTGGTGATTAATAGAGAGCAGTTTTATTAGAGACTTCGAATTCTGTCACGAGGCGTAGCTTTGGCGGTTCTCAAGGTTGTTCATTCAACATCCAGTTTTATAATTCGACCTCACTGACTTCATTTGTATCCACTAATACCAAGCAGATTACATCATACCCACTACGAACCAATTTCTGTAATCAAACTCATATTTGATAAACTTATTCGACACTGATTCTCTCAGAAAAAAAAATGAAATTAATCTATACAAATAAATAGTAAATAAAAGCCTTGAGAGGAGGTGGTCAGCGTCAGGTGATCTTGCCTAGGAAATACCACTACCACTGCTGCACCTACGACCCATGTGCGTTACGGGTTTCATGATCGTGATACAAATACAATGGATTGTTTTTCTGTCTGTCTTCTATAAACACAGGAATCAATGAAGAGATGTCAACCAAAATTGGCATGCAATAGGCTACTGCGCAAGGAATGTCAAAGCCTATATAAAGTTGATCTAGTTCAAAGCTGAAGCTGGTGAAATGTCAAGGCCAAGTTAAAAAAAGCATTTGTCAGGAAAAATAAATAGTTATTCCTATGTAAAAATATAGCAGCGATGTAAGAAATTAATGCGTTTACATTGTTTGATCTGGCATCTAGTCTGCAGCCGCTCTCTCACAGACCGGGCTCCCTCTGTCTTTTTTACCAATGCTTTCACGGTAACTGCTCCGATGAGCTTCTTTCGCTGGTTCACAGATTTCAAGAATTTAAGCGTTCAACTACTCTGGAGTCTCACCCTTTCACTGTTGAAACTGTTAAATGTAGCCGTCTCTTTTACTCCAGTAGCTTCACATCTCGCACCTCTCGCCTGTGGAACTCGGTTCCCTTTCGTGTTTCCCTGATAGCTATAATCGCCAACTATTCAAATGTAATGTCAATCGACGACTCCAGATTCCCTAATCTATCCCCTAACCTTCTCTTCATCCTTTCCTCTATCACGCCTCTTTGTTCTCGCTCCAACTCTCTGTAACCCCTTGCGTGCTAGTGGCTTCCCGCCTTGCTTGGGGTGAAACGCTTAAAAAAAAATACAACAGCTGTTCGGCCAGCTGTTGTCTTCTAATACACTTCTCGAGGAGGCACCATGCATTGAGAGAATATTCGGCCTCAAACTAACACCTGACATCAAGTGGAACTCGCAAATATGATCTATGGCTAAATATGCAGGTAAAATGATCGGCTCTGTGTAACGCTCCAGTAAGTACCTGACTCCTCGTACTATGCTCTAGCTTTATAAGAACCAGATCAAGCCAATAATGGGGTACGGTTGCCATATTTGGCCTGGCGCTGCTCGGTCTTCACTTTCCAGTATTGATAGAGTTCAAAAGCGTCTTAGTTTTTGTGGGTGACGAATTATTTCCCCCCTCCAACTTTCCCCCTCTCGTAGGCCGGATGTGGCGAATCCCTCACAGCTCTCTGGTTACTTCAATGGAAAGTGCTCCGATGAACAACATTCCTTGGTTCCGTCAAGTCTAACTTTCGCTATACGGACCCGCCATGACACTTACATTGGAGCAAAACACCGATATTCCTTCCGTATACCATCGCTCAGCTTCTTCCCGGGAACCATTGTTTTGTGAAACAGAGCCTCAAGCCGATATTTCCTTGCGTGCTAGTGGCTTCCTGCTTAAAAAAAATAGTCTATACGAATAAAATGAAGTGTCTGTTTTTTTATTATTATTATTTATGTAAAAATAGTACCCGAGCAACGGTGAAAACATCAGCTAGTTTGTAATAACAATGGATTACAGAGGATTTTAACTGAGGATATTTTTATTTAAATGTCATATCCTTAGGATATTCATTGTTGATAATATTCTTTTCCGTTCGTATCACATATGACACTCAACTTTCATATTTTGCGGATTTATAACCATTTACTTTGAGTGGCTCCAAAGTTTTGTATTGAGAGGAAACCTCCATTTCCTCTATCATTTAAATGCAAGAAAGTTTCACTCCGACAGCATTTTCTCAACAACGGCCACTTCCCATAACACTTCAATATTGACATCTTTATATCAAAGAACAATATTTATCTATCCTTATTTTCTTTGTTTTCATTTCATACTGTCTTCTCTTCCATTCTTATTACACAGCTCATTACCATTTTGACTGCAATATTATTTCTTGAGTGGCTCTCGGGTCTTTATTGGGTGAATTATGTCTTTCCACAGATGTGTTTTGCTTAATGTCTGTGAATTACCATGACTTCTTCGGAAAAATAGTGAAGTAACCTCCTGTTGTTTACACTATTTACATTATTCAGACTGTTGTCATCTTCATTGTCATATTCACAACGTTTCGACAGTTGTACGCAACGGTCTTCTTCAGGTGAGTGGAATTTCGAACCAAACCATTATTTCATCCACCGGGGTAGATTGTTCTCGTTCCACGTGCCATGCTTCTCCCGGATATATCAGTTTCAGTTATTGCCCTTTAGTAAGTCAACCCTTTAGTAAGTTTTTGTTCTCCTTTGTTGTGGCCAGGTATTGAACTCCTAACTCTTTGGGTCAACTTACTGGATTTACTATTACCAACGCTTTTATCTACTGTTACAGATTTTTTTGTTTCTTTTCCTTTAAATTCAAAGAAGTTTTTCTTCTAGACTGGCTGTCATCCAAGGCATGAAATAGCCCAGCGTATCCTGCTATTTAACCCATAGCAGTGGAGAGCGAAAATAGTTTAATGACTTTGAGAAAAGCATTCGTGCAAAGTGGACACAACAAAATTCCGAACGGCGATTCCACTTGGCGCAACGATTTACTAGCGCATCCCATCTATATTCTTCTTCTTCTTTGCACCGTGTCCTTTCAGGACGTGGGTGTTTAGGGCTCCCCACAACTGCCTATCCTTTGTAGCCCTAAGCACTGTTTGTCTTTTTACTACCCACCACTCCCTGCTTTGCAATATATTAAAAAAAAAGAAGCTGGTTACACGTCGTTCTCTCTTGTCCCTCTTTCCATCGATATGTCCTGTGAGTGTTAAATTTTCCAAGCCTTCTTTCCATTATTAATTTTACGCGTCTCTTTCTGACTCTAAGAATGTGTACTTTTTTTCATTTCCTTAAGTCTTCTTCATTGCTTACACTCTCGTTCCTTTTGTATTTTCGGCGTCCTTCTGTGCAAGAACATTTCTCTTGCCCCGAGTCTTCTCGTCCTCTGTGAGGAAATTGTCCATCATTCATTGACATAGAGGAGGATTGATATTATATAGCAGTTCATCAATTACTTCTTTTTTAATTTTCCTGTTTCTTAATACTTTGTTTAGTTTTTGGAAGGCATCATTTGTTATTCCAATGCGCGTCCAAATTACGGTGCCGCATTTATATTATTGTAAATGTTAACACTGTTGCTTCCATACCTGCCGTAGAGATATTTGCTAAACATCGGTTGGCACGAGGTGAAAACAATTTTCTGGGCGTGGAATATACGTAGCCCATAAGGTAGTGTCAGAGTTACGCTCAAACACTTGCAGTTAAATCCAGTGGGATTTAGCAATTCTTGATTTTACACACGCGCACGTGTATTGGGCTCTACAATATACCTGACCTTGTGTCGTGCTTGACCTCGGAACGACACAACTATAATCCCTCGGTGATCAAATTCATTATCGTCGTGAATGGTCTGCGTGTTTAGCTTGTTAATCATAGCTCAACAAAAAAGGAGCCCAACGATATTTTTTTTATCTAATGAAACCAGCAAAATTATGTATTGAAGGACTGAAAATAAAATTTTCAGAAGACCAGCTTTCCTCACATCACGTATTCATAACATTTAACGAACCGTGAAGTCCTTTGTAATATGTCTCAGGTTCTTGTTGAAGTCATTTCGATGTCTTTTGTATACATGATTAGGCAAGCATGTGTTTATGAAGATTTGCGTGTGAGAGAGTTGATGTGTGTAGACATGGATTCGTTCAACGCTTTCCAGTTGTGTCTCTATGGCCCTTTATGTAAGTGTATTTTTATTGCGTGAGCAAGTTAGCGTGCGCGTCTGCACTGTCCGCATTAAAATGATACACATCTGGCCCTATCACTTCATCTTTTTGTTGTTGCCGAACTTGCATTCAGAACTTAACTTGGTAATTAAGTAGAGTGTTCAAATTTCACACCAGTTACATAGAGTTTATCGTAAGATTTATGTCTTTCAAAAATTCGCTCTTCATTCTTTACTCTTTTCTTTTCTTTTCTTTCTTCATTGTCTTCTGTTTATGCCTTCTTTCATCTTACTTTTGTTCATTCTCTTTTCTGCTTCTTTCTTTTGTTGTCTGTTTATTTTCATGTCTTTCCTCTCCTCACTTTCTTTCTTTTTTTCTTCTGGATGTTTCTTTGCTCTTCCTTTTTTTTTTCTCTTTTGCTTATACTTGATTTCCTCCATTCCTTTTATTCTTCTTGTCT